GTTGCAAGGAATAGAACAGCTAGAACCATGTATTATTCCATTCCAAGAGGGAAAATCACAATTTACTTGTCAGTATAAGATCAATGTTATGATAGCGTACACGCGTAACATCATACGATATACACATTAGTTTTGATATGTAACTTTAATTGAGGAGAAGCAGCTGACCAATGTTTATTAAAATTAGCAATTAATTGCGATAAACTTTGAGGCATTTTAACACGGAATAATAACAACCCGGGGAGAGTAGAAACATTTAAAAAAACTTAACATTCAAATGTAGGATGTTTGGAACACTATTATACCGATCTGAGGGAAAAAGCAGAGCGTTTAAAATAAAAGTAGTAGAAATGATATATAAATCAATTACCAGCGTCATCGGCATTAATGTCTGGTATAGTCTGATAAAGTTTAGAATGATATAGTCACGCAAGCTTAAGCAATCATGTATATATATATATATATATATATATATATATATATATGTAAATATACTACAATATTTCAAAAAATACTTCTGTTAACATCTTCACTCTTAGGAACTCTCTTTATTCCTACGATGAAGCTATTGTAGTTATACGTGGCAGCAGTGAACACTCCTTCCTTCGGCCAGCACTACTCAGTATGGGTTTCACCGAAAATCAAAACCAGTCACACGTTGTATTCCTCCCATGTCCTTTGGGATCATTTTCGAAGTCTTTGGGGTCAAGAAGCTGGAAATGCGTTTATTGCCCTCCTGGTATGTTATAGTCTGGACGTTTGTAAGAACCCGGTGTAGCTCGGGCCTCAATAAGAAACGGTGAAAGCGATTAATTTGTGGAGACGTTTGTCTAGGAATAACCTTTTTATAGACCTGTTCACGCTTGTACATGTAAAATATTGCCACAGCACTTACTCTGGGGAAGCTTGAATGCTCAAAGTCCGTTGGGGTCGTTTTATTTTAAGCATCAGTAACCACACCAATATATTTCGGCTTCAGAGAGGATTTCAGGTTTCAGTATATAAATGAAGAATAGCCTCTGTTTGTCCAAAGCATCACCTATTTCAATTTAGGAAAAACAACTCGCAAAGGAAACTTTTCCTTAATCAATTAAACTGAAATTGATAAAAAAATTTGACTTTGAACCAAAGTAAACGCTCAACCTTGAAGCTGGTGGAAACTTCTTATTCCACCAAGTTTCAGGTATGTTGACGGTTTATATTTTTATTTTCACATATAATCAAAATGTACTTGAAACCACTCATAACCACAACTGGCACTTTGACACGTTCCTCTTTCAGGTGGTTTTTACTCCGACACACTTGGTTATGTTGCAGACGGCTGCAAGAAATGTCCAAATGGTTCTTACGTGGCATATGACAAAAAACCTGGAAAATCTGTATTGGACTGCAAGACATGTCCTGAAGGTAATATACAAACATGTGTTTCTCAACGTCACTAAAGGGTTTGAGCTGTCAGTGTGTACACACGTAATCAAATGCTGTCCAGAAGCCTGGAAAGAATGACTTAAAAGTAGAGAATAGAATTCGACGAGTCGTGTTTATCTTAAGAAACAAACCCAGCACGTAGGCAAGAGTCGAATGTCTCGAAAACCGTCTCTGTGTTCGCTTCATTGTGCATGGTTGGTTTGAAGATTTTTTTTTTACTTCAAGGGTACTACAGTAAATGGTTTGAACCCCGGGGGTAACATTTAATAGTGTAGTTGGATCGTGCAGGTGAGTGTAGTCCTGAGAAGGACTGTTTTCGGTAGTGGTGACTGACGTTTCGACAACCCGAGCGGAAGTCATCTTCAATGTCAATGTTTTTGGGCTCAAGCTTCATCTAACTGAAGGTAGGAGTGAGTAAGATTTGATTGATTAATAATACAATCTTCAATTTTTACAGGAACAGAAACCGATTTTTTCGCTAGACATCGTGCTTGTCCCTGCTTGGAAGGACATTACCGAACTCATCTCTT